AGCTGCGTTCGGATTAGGAGCACTTTTGAGGGAGCGGATGGATTTGGAGGCAAAGGATGCAGGTTTGGAGTTGGCATGGAAAGATGGAGAGGATTGACGTTTCGGCCGAGGGGGTGTAGGCCCAGGGGGATGTGGAGAGGGGGAGGAGGGCGAGGACCGATTCTTACGTGTTTCCTCTTACCAGGCATTCTGTGCCTGGTAAGAGGGGGGGAAGATTTAGGGAGAGAGTCTGGTGAACAGAGAGAAGAGGCTAGAAGCAAGAAGAGAGAAAGAGAACAGTCAACAGTGAGAGAATGCCTTCAAAAAGACAGTGCAGAAATGATAAGGATTGCCTTCACAAAGACAATTTCGCGCTGCCGGAACAATGGGCCCGGCAGCAGGGGTGAAGGATATCAGTTGATGCCTGGGAATAGACACCAGCCGTAGATCTCGAGTAGGACTGTGTACGTAGGGGCTCTCATTGAGAATATGAACTTGATTATTTCCTGGACTCCATGATTCTATCTCGAATATGTAGAAAATAAAGTATGAATTTTCCGACTTTATTGATTGCTAGAATGAGACTAGGCGAGACATATAGCTAGGTACTAAACATTCCTGTGAAGGACGATTACAGGGAAAGAGGGAAGGGTACTTCTGTGAACTAAGAAAAGCGAGACCTATTCCTCCATCTAGGGGCTTGAAGGATAACTTCAAGTGCGGTCGGGCACTTTGGATCACCGCATTGGTCCTATATTGGATGAATTATGATATAGCAATATCGGAATTTCATTGTTTCCCCAACATTCACCCAATATTGGCAATATTGCCCAATATCTAGCCAACGTACCCAATGTCGGTCCAGCATTGGGCAATATCTGGGTGAAATTAGGTGAAATATCCCCATAATGTGCTGTTTCCCATAGTGATGGGAAGATCAACCCTTGCACTGTCTTATGTCTCCTACACTGCCATGGAAAGGACGTATGCACGGGAAGTATTATTACTACAGATAGTAAAGTCCCAACCATAGGAAAAACCCCTGTGGGCAATGAATTTAGGGCAAATAGCAGCGCCAATATTAGCCCAAAGAGGGGCTCGGTAGTAATCCCAATATTGGTCCAAGATGAGTGCCAATATTGGACCAATATGTATATTCCTTGGCAGCCGATATTGATCCAATATCGGGGTGCTACCAGGGAAGGGCCAACTTCTTGTGCTACTGGGGTGGGGGGATAGGCCTACGAGGGACCAACGCTGGTTCCCAACGTGAAAGCCAGATGGCACATGTTGAATTCTACTGTATACCCAACATTGGCCCCCAAGTGGATGTGCTGCCTGGGTAGGGCATTCCTGAGGGAAAAAAGGCTCCTTACATTCAGGACATCCATTGCATTCACATTCCAGAATTTAGCTGAAATTTTTTTCATTGATATGTATCTAGAAATTGTATTTGGAGTGGGCCCGTTTTGGATGTTTCTACAAGCCCCAGCCATTGGACCTAATCCGCAATTACTTTGGCGAGGAAGTTGGCTTTTACTTCACCTGGCTGGGCTTCTACACCAAAATGCTCCTTATAGCAGCCATCCCCGGTGTCATCTGTTTTCTCTACGGCATTACCACTATCAGTCTCCAGAATAACATTCCCAGGTGAGATGCCTAAAAATCTTTGTTCATCGATAGCAGCTGCATGAAAGTTCTGTGGTCTGCTTAGCCAAGATATCTGCGATGAGAATGGACCCGGGAACTTCACCATGTGCCCAGTATGCGATCATGTCTGTCCGTTTAAGAAACTCAAGGAAAGTTGTTTCTATTCCAAGATCACGTTCGTTTTCGACCACGAAGCCACTATGATCTTCTCCGTCATCATGTCTGTCTGGGGTAAGTCTTTCGAGATCTCACTTTCTTTTTTGGGTGCCATATGAAGATCATGATCGCTTTGGCAGCCACGATGTTCCTGAAGTTCTGGAAGCGGAAGCAAGCTGTTCTCGATTGGAACTGGGATATTGAGCATTTGAAGGATGAGGAGGAACCTAGACCAGAATACAAAGCCAAGGTTTGTCATGTTTTTTTCTCCGCCTACTGTTACTTCGGATTGTTACAATCAGTTATTAATGAAGTTATTAATTTATGCCCAATCATTAATTAATTTCTTCTTCCAGCATTTCTTCTATGCTTATTCCAGCTTAACCCGTCAAAATAAAACATTTTCCATTAAATTGAAAGGTTTCCATGAACATGACCAACATGCCCAATCTGAATATATTTAATTTTTTAATTCACCAAAATGCAAGTAATTAAGTTTTATATTTTTATTTTATTAATGTGCCCACCATAGTTAACTTATTAAATGCGTTCTATTTATAACACATTTCCTGCAGTAGGTATATCATATCTCCATTAATACTTTTTATTTAAAATGAATTAACGAAAATGTTCATGGTTTTTTCATGTTTGATGATAACAGGCTCAGGAAAAAGGAAACATAACTTGGTCATACAGTTTGGTCGAGGTTAATTAGTAGTGGGATTGTTACACCTGAATGAAGCATCTTACTTAATTTGGAGGGAAGCTATTACAAAAGCACTAAGTTCCAGTTATGGATAGCTGTGTGGAGTGAAAGACAGGTGAAATTCAAATTAAGCCTAACCAATAACGGTAATAGCTAATGAGCAGTAGATATACGACAACACAGGGATTGATCTATTGATAACGTTAGTACCCCAAGAAACACAGTATGTTGATGAAATGGTTCCGAAATTTTGCCTGTTGTTCTCTGTTGAAAGTTGATGTACAACATTGATAAAACATTACTTCAATGTTTTCACTTGGAATGCTGCTGCGACACTTCTACGAATGTCATGACAACATTTGCTATCAACATTGAGATAATGTTGACACTCTTGACATCGACAACGTAGCGACAACATTCCGATACAACATGGACTTAGTTTTAGGGAATGGTAAAGTTGTCCTCTTTGCCACGAGATGGAGGCGTAGGTCTCGTTTTTCTAACAGTACACAAAAGTGCCGTTCTCTCTTTTCTTGGAATCGTCCCGCACAGAAATTTTTAGTACCTTGCCATATGTCTCACATTGTCTCATTATAGGAATCAATGAACACGGACACATCATCACTTATCCTCATATTCGAGACGGATTCATGGGGTCACGATAAAAAAAATGCTCATATTCCTAAAAAGAACCCTTTCCATGAACTCGTCAATTACACCTTACAGGATGACATAAACAACGGTAGAGTCTGTGATACTCATCCTGAGAACTTGAAGAGGAAAAGGACTGAGGTGAATCCAATACCTCCAAAAATGCACCATTTCTCTTGCCTGTACATGATGCAGACACTGCATTATGCATGGGTAAGGGGTTATACCAGTACAGGCTTCGTGCTGTTGATGGGAGTGTCTGGGTAGAGAGGTAAAGCATATGATATGAAATGATGAATGAAATAATTCAATATTGGTCGAGTATCTGTCCAGTTCAGGACCAGTGAAGCCTATGCTTTTCCGTAATGCCAACATAGGCCCAGATTTAGTGCCCGAAAAGCAACGTTTTTAATCAACATTGCAGCAATATAAATCCTGAAACATTTCTGCAACGTATAAATAAATAAGTAATAAATGAATAAGTAACGATTTGCAACGTCAATACAATGTTCCTTCGCAAAATTTGAGTAACGTTGACGTTTTGGACATTTACTCATAGATGCAACACTGTTCAACATTTCTTAAACGTTGCTGGAATATCTTGTGCTACTTGGGACATTAAGGGGAAAGTTCATCCATTAGTGTTCCAATTTCTTTGTCAATCAGGAGGTGGCCCGCTGGCTGATCAAGTATTCCAGCCGTCACATAACCGCCTCAGCCAGAAATACGTATGTATAGCGCCTGAACCGTCCATGGCGCACTACCTTTCAGCTGCATAGGGCGATATTAGCGTACTGAGATAACGTTAATACAAAACTCTCTGTGTATTGAATACTAAATACATGTGTGAATTCGACCCCTCAGTTATATTGAAATCTACATCATTTCAATATTGAATCAATGCTCTTCAACATCGAGCCGAATTTAGAAACTTAAGCACTTTTGCGAAGTTGAGCCAATATTGTTGTGCAGACTGGGGCTCTGTTCACTTGAATCTTTCCATGGTTACACGTACATGTTATGAAAATAGAACATGCATACTGCAGTACTTCCATCACTAGTGTTTGTCGCATAATTTCGAATTTTTTCCTAATGTTCCTTTTGAAGCTATGGACGCAAGCAAATAATTATATAATCAGGTATTGGGCTGAAGCAGGCGAAGTAGCATCCTTCAGTGTTCCGGATCTTGGGCAACGGACTCAAACTCAGTAGGTCGAATACTGAGCCTTTCCTGAGAAAGCTTCGCTATATACTGTATAGCACCTTGCACGAAGCAATGAATGGTCTTTTTGTCTGCCATTTTGGATTGGGATATCCCTGTCTTGAGTCTCTTGTCGGCGGGACACTGGTGTAAATCAACGAGTTTGAGGTCTCTCGATCGAAAGAGTTCTACCCGGAGGTTCACAAGGATGGTGGCTCCACATCCTCTCGCGACATATAACAACGATCCGCCTAGGATAGAAATCCACCAGTGTCGTGCTGGACCACCTATGACCTGCTACCTCTGTGCGGCTTGGGTATATACTGACAAGTTCCGCTCTCCAACTTGCGCTTTCGTTCCGTCATGTTGTACTACCACTGTCTTTCCTTTAAGTCCAAGTTTCAGTTTCCATGTCTGTGGAACTAATATGAGTCATGTTGGTCAATATGAGGGCCATCTTCTCATAAAATGAACACATTAAGATCGAAACGCTGTTCCATTGATTTTCACAAGCTATGATCGTTTCAACGCATTCATAAGCCTGAAGGCTCTTCCATACAAGAGAACAATCCAGAAATGAGAAAGAAGCTCAATATTGGTATTGCGTATTAAAGTATATGTGCTCACAGAAAGTGAATTCACCTTAAGTGACATGGACAGGCGAAGGAGATCAGAAAGGAGATGTATCACGAGGAGCCGTACATTCCTGGTTGGCATAGGTGTGGGAAATTCAGCATCACCGCCAGTCTTATCTTCATCTTGGTATGACCATTCCGCTCATTCATATGCTTGACTGATAGCTTCTTTGACATCCTAATGAATATGATTTGAGCAGCTGCTCCTGGTGATGGGGGCCGTATTTGGAATGGTCGTGTATCGCATTACCATAATCGCTGCCCTCAATACATGCCGCATTTACGAGATCAAGACACATCCAAGGATTTTTGCTTCCTTCTCGGCCGCCATTATGAACCTGATTGTCATCCAATTCTTCAACTGGGTCTGTCTCCCTTTTGCTTTCAATAGCGTAGTGGTCGTACGTGATTTCAACTTTGTAGCAATGCTCCAAGCAATACATTCACACATCTATGTGAAAAAATGAGTGCCTACGAAGATGTGGCAGGGTTTGGCCCTATAAATTGGTCCCATATAGGACGAATAAATGAATAAAAAGATTAATAATAAAATCATCTCTCGTAGGTAAATATTCACCACATGTACATGTGATGAGCGACGAGTTCGGGGCGAGTTAAGGCACACGCGCAGCTCTTAGCCTAGACCGGTGCATGTTTCGTCTCCAACCAGACCTGCTACACTCCTTCCCTTCCACTTAACTTGATGCATCGATAGTGGACAGGAGCAAGAAGCAGCGCGTGACAGCGTAATTGTTTGCTAAACTCATGCAATACTATCTCTGGTTGAGTTGACCTCTCTTCTCATCCTCCATCTTACTAGCTACAGCCTTCTCAATTCTCAATATTGGAGGCAAATTACTTGATCTATCCTGAGCAGCTTGTCTCTTCCAAGTGCCTTCTTTCCATAATGGTATCCTAAACAGTATTTGAGAGTGGACCCTTACCTGCAACGTATAACACGAAGAGTTTAGGACTTCGTTCTCATTGACTTTTTTTCGCATAGGTGCTTTTTATACAGGCAGGGCCAAAAAAAAGTTCCACATTTTTCATTCCGCTGTAACATTTTCGCTCATTAAGTCAAGTGCCTACAATCGGTACCATTGCTTAGAATGACATAGCTACAATCAAATGCAGATTTTATTTTGAAAGTCAGTTAAGAAGTAATTGCACAGTGACGATATATCGGCGATAGGTGAAAAACCGCCGCTGCGCGACAAACCTACCGATACCATTATGAACATGCTGAAGGGCTCTGTTCAGCAGACGGTTTGGAGGAGCGAGGCTCTTGTAGCCTAAATCTGCGTAGAACCTATCGTTTTGGCTGTTTGGAGTTCTTTCTTTTTCGTTTGCCTATCATTTTGCCAGGGAATGTTTGTTGCGTGCAATGCTGACCTACCCATGCACGCGTACGGGTGGGAGGGAGAATCCCCAATCCGCGCAGCGACGGTTTTTCACCTTTCGCTGTGAAATTGTCACTGTGCAAAAACATCTGAAGCTATTCCTGCAAAATGAAGTGAGCTTGATTTTAGTCTGGGCATTCTAAGTAAATACATAAATTGCTTTCGCCTATCTTGTTTAGTTAATATGTGACAGCCTGATGAAAAATGTGGAACTTGTTTTGGCCCACCCTGTAGACTGTTTAGACATAAGAACTTCATTTTACGTCATGCAATCATGATACTGTAAATTGAAGATGGGCAGAAGGAATCGGCATATTTGCAGCGCCCAAAGTTTCTGCGTGATTTTTATACTGTATTTATCTTTCTATTGTTGAGTTTCAAAGCTGAATGTCACTCACAGAATGGCTTTCTCTTTTGCACAAAGGTATCTTTTTTTTCTCGTCACACAGTTTTACAATAAAATGGCGCTATACCTGGTGAAAATGGAGTGCCCTCGGACGCAGACGGACTTTGAATACTCTTACGCGATCAAGACTTTCCTTTTTCAGTTCATCAATGTCTACTCATCACTAATCTACATTGCATTCTTCAAGGCAAGAATGGAATTTCTTCAAACTCCTCCCTTTCCACAGACAGCGAAGGTGTTGTCATCTCTCTCGATTCTTTACAGGGTCAGTTGTACTCGCACCCGGGGGAAAAGGAAGCACGCCAGAGCTTCAGATACGACCCTTGTGGACCAGTAGGATGCCTCCTAGAGCTGAGCATTCAGCTCTTTGTCTTCATAGTTATCAAGCAAATTTTCCAAATTATGTGGGGACTGATTGCACCGTAAGACACTTGTTGCTTGAATTGGATGTCCCAGAAAACGAAAGGGCTCAGAGCTGAGTGGATTTTTTCGTATCAGAAAACCTCCATATCGCTATTCGAATCTGTAGGTTCAGCTTTTTAAGCGAGGACAATATTTTTTTAAGCAGTTGCTTAATCAGAGTTTTATAAGCTGAGGATTAGCAGGAACGGGGGGAAAACAGAAGCACCGATTGTGTGCAGCATCCGATGGGTTCGGGCATCGTTAATACCGCCTCCCGCTGAGCAAATGGGGCAGAGGTGCTGGGGAGGTACAGGTTTCTAAAGTTGGGCCTCACTTTTAAAGTTGGGGGACTGACAGGAGGGCGCTGGACTATGATCACAGGGCTTGCAAGGCAAGGACCCATTCTACACAACAATATTCATTCAATGTTGTAGGAGCAGCAAGGCTGTCACATATTAACTAAACAAGATAGGCGAAAGCAATTTATGTATTTACTTAGAATGCCCAGACTAAAATCAAGCTCACTTCTAGGAGCAGCAAGGCCATATTTAGAAGGGGGTTGAAACCCCCCCCCCCCCCCGAAATGAAATCCTAGATACGGCCCTGAGGAGCAGTGAAGTCTCAGCATCTATTCTGCTGCTTTTAATCTAGCAAAACGTTGCAACATTAACATAAATCAAAATTTCCTCAATTTTAAAGTAAGACAAGTCTCAACATTGCTGAGGCATTTACGGGATTCTCCATTTGAATGCTTTAATGCTCTGTGAAGGTTACATACTCATTACCAAATAAGTACGACTACGAAGGAGTTAAGCGATCTTGATGACATTTGGTACACAAGCTCCTGTTAGCGTGCTATGAATTTGATTAAAGTTTCAGGTGTGTGGGATGAATACTGTGACGGTTTTGGGGCCCACGCTAGTGATCCGGTTCCCACCGAGGTCAGGGAGCGGCTAGGGCAGGTCAGCGGTCCGCAGACCTTCGGCTGTCATAACCAGGTGCTGCTGGTCGTAGCGTAGACCACAGGTGGACACCAGGATGATCCCTGAGAAACTCGAGTAGGCCGATTACGATGTGAACAACCTTAAATTTGTAATATAGCACAGACAAGGGTGGTGGTTTGGCTTCCACACGGTCAAACTTAAATTGCAATCCAGGTCAACCAGGGTAATCCAACCCTTAGCGATACAGGAAAAGACGGCAAAAATAATGGACAGATTGCACTCCAAGTGAAACGGCAGATAGGACAGGCCCCAGTCGAGATGTAACTAAGCGACGTGACCCTTGCGAGGAGCACGGGTGCAACACCGACTTTCAATGATTTGTCAGGGAAGAATCAGAGCAGGCGGTTCTACTAACGTGGCCACGTAAGAACGGTGCCCAGCGCATTGGAGCAAGAGGTGTTCGGGAGGAGGCTGTGCAGAAGACGTAATTGAAAAAGGAATTGGGCATAAGGGGTATGAAGGGTGAAGAACCTCGCTACCACAAGTTTGTCAATACAAAGCGTGTGTAATCGGTCTAAGGGTGATAAGGTCAGGCTTAGTCAGGGTCAACGGTCTCCCTACCATTCAAGTGTGCACCATTCCCTACGAGGTCAAGTTGGGCAAGGTTGAGTCTCGCGGCGGTGGTGGCGCTATCTCTCGTCACGTGGCAAAATCCGTTGACCCTTGACCCTGTTTGCGCGGTGAAGAAAACTCGATGTTATGTGAGTTCAAGGACTACAGTCAACTACAATAGGCAGAGGTCATGTACAAAGTGTGACAATGTACATAGACAATATATATTGGGTGTAACAGGCGCAACGAGCGCAGCAATATTACGAGGTAATGGAGAAAACTTGGCAATCCAATTTCAATAGCGGCTATGGGGTCTTTCTAATTGCGCGAAACGGATACCTAGAAGATTTTATTGATAAAACGTGGCAGAAAAACTCCTAAGGATGTGCAAAAAAGCAGTCTAGAGATCGTGAGTTAAGGCAATGCTGAGAAAACTTGCCAAAAACAGGACGAATTAGGGAAGACGGAAGCTCTGCTTAGCACGAAACTAACTCCCTAGAAATTTTTCTCTTTGTACATTTTATGCTACCACTAGCAGTTCCTGCTAGTAGTGGCATATAGCAATAGAAAACAAAAGGAAATTTTTCGTGGAGAGCCCCCACCCCCAAAAGAAGGGTTCCAGATGGCTAATTGTATATTGTCTAGAACGTAGAATTATCGTCAATCACTCACTTACGTTGATCACGATCACCCACGATAGCTTATATTTACAGGGTGAACATAAAGTCACGCATCATAGCAATTGCATCTTTTTTAAATATTTTGTCAAAGGTAATTTACCGCTGAAATGTTTTTGTCAAAAAAAGAAGAACGAGAGCAGATAATCCTGTTGGATTGGGAAAACATTTTGAACAAATTCTGTAACGTTCCTATGAAACCTGACAAGGGTTGAAATAAATCATAATATGCCTATGATGCGTGACTTTATGCCCACCCTGTATATCAATTAATATGAGAACTAGAGACATGGTACAGTGCTTTTCACCTCAGTTAGACAATTTTTCACTTGACTAAGACACCAATGCGAGGAGTATTCAGAGAGGAGGCGAGGGCGCAGGTGCCCCTGGTGACTAGCGACATCTTTCTCTTCGAATATTTAGGATTTTTCATATGCATCAAACTATGTACTGGATACGATGAACCGCATGCATAGCCATGTTGCCAACGGGAGACCTTCCTTGCAGTTTATTTAAATAAAAAGGCTCTAAGTTTTCAATTTCCCATCGGTTCAACGATGTGGAAACACTGGATCGGACTTCGATGGACAATCCCAGATCCACGTTAGATTGGCCTACTTGAGTTCGGCGTGAGGAAGGATACTTCAGAACCCAGGAACGATGCCCAAATCTTCACCTGTTTTATTGAAATATTAAGGAAAACAGTAATGGGTGACACGAAAGCCTAGTTTTTCACGGCATTAAATTAGCATTTCAATATATTGTGTATTTGGGAAGGTTCATATTTATTTTCCTCTCTTCAGCAGGAAATTAATCATCATCGTTGTCGCCAATGTCATCACGACATCTGCACTTAAGAACGGAACTCCTTGTTTCTGCGTCGATACACTATGTCACCCTCACCATGCACCGTTGTCGAAGTCAAGTGAAAACATGTATAACTCAGGTGAAAAACACTGGAAAACTGGAAAACTATCGCTCTATAACGTTTTACGCATGCGTTGGCCTAATTTCACAGATCTATGAAGTTAAGCCAACTCTAGGTCAAATAAACTCGAGTGTATGCCTGAGTTGGAGAAGCTCCCGTCAGATGGGTCTTTCGGCGCATCCGTTCCCAAGCAGTTCAAAGACTGACTTCATGAGAAGGGGATTATCTCAAGTCCAGATCAACAACTGAACTAAGGTATACGTCCTTGGCTTCCCATGGAAAGGGAAGCCTATGAAAACTTCAGGCAAACCAATGGATTAAAAAAAAAAAGGGGCCTAGCCTATCATTGTACCTATCATCAAGATAAGCCTACACAGAACCACTTTGCGTGAATCATCTGTATGTAATTGGACAAAGCTCAAGCAAACGTGGTTAACTTAAAGTCAAGGCAGACCAAAAATGGCCGTACGGTAGCTGTTATTTTTAACTGAATGAAATTACTCTTCCCAAACCCCTCTGGTTTTAGCCTATCTGCCCTGGACAGGTAACTGACTGTATCATCTTACTCTAGTACGGTGTGTTGGAGCTGAGTAGACTACTCAACCCCTACCCCTCTCGCTTATTGGCTTGAAAATTGCTTACGGCCAAGGCCAGCACCAGGCATTCCAGCCTGGAGGATTTTTCAGTGGCAGCCATGCAGCCTAGGTCTACATTTTTCCCTTTCATTTTTTCATAAAAAACTATGGGTTGAAGGATTGGGGATATGAGGTAGACTCTCCTATTTCTAATCCACTGAAGATGCATTTCTCTGATTTTGTTCCATAGGTAAAGAAAGTCAGCCAAGCCCTATGTTATAGAAAAACAATTTTCTCCAGGCCACATAGATGTTCACCAAAGACATTGGCTAATACAAGAATAGGTATTTTTTCCAAAATTAGAGTTTCACAAAAGTTCATCAGCCTAGGCCTACAGGGTGAAGTGAGGATGTAATGAAATTACACCCATGAACTAGAACAAAGCCTGATGCAGTTCTAACACATGAAATTGGAATGCATTTTAGCATCATTTCATTCCTTTTAGATTGATTTCACATCAAAATTTTGATTCTGGTCCATACCAGCTACATCATAGATACTAATGAACAAGACCAGAAGGAACTACATCACACAGACTGATAGACTAGACCAGAAGGAAGTCTCAATTCCAGAAGGAAAGTCTTTACTCAGCAGGTTGAAAAAGAATCAGAAATTGCATTGTCAATTCCCCTAAGATCTGTATTGAATGGAAGGAAAATGCATGGACTTATTACTATGAAATATTACTAAGTGGAAACTGGTGAGAAAGTGTAATATACATCAACTCCTTTCATATATATTTTCTGTCTTTTTGTCTCCTGCAAGAAAGAACAAGTATTCTCAATTCCAATGCATTGCACTGATTTTCAAGGGCATTTCTTTTTTTTTGCGTACCAAAAAGGGGATCCAACTGATAGAATTACCAGCTTAAGCCTCAGACTTTCCAGGTTTGGTGCAGAAGTTTCAGAGATTTTACTATGTCATCCCTGCAATAACCAGTAAAGGTTTGGTGCAGGCTTTTCATCATGATCAAATACTGAAAGTAAAGAATATCAGCTCCCATGAGATGTTTTGGTTATTTAGATTTAATGGGTATCAAGTTCCAGGATATTATGGGGCAGATATTTTCACAATTTTATATACATCCATAATAAGTTTTTCAGCTTGAAACACATTTTTTAAATGTCCCTTACCAATTGAACTTTGGTGGCATAGAGAAAACCTTCAATTGTTTTAAATTTCATTGCTATGAATTGATATTCATATAACATCACCATATCATCTTAGGCTTATGATCTTTGTATATCTTGTTTGTAAATTGAGACTTTTTCCATTTAAAAAAGTAGGAGAACTCACTGTTCTTGATATCATAACCAAAGATCATGGAAACAAAAAGCCTCTATCTGCTAGAACACAGCTTCCTTCGGAAAGTAAGTCCTGGAATCTTACATTCTCAAGATATGCGCATCAGGAGAGCTCATTAATGGCAATGTAACTGATGTGTATCTGTCCCATATCGTAACAAACAAACATTTTGACAGCTTATTTCTTCTTATAAATTGAGAAGCTGAGTTCCTTTTGGTTCTCAATCGGAAATATAGTGTATCCATTACTGTAGTCAACATGAATGTCTTCTTAGAGTTTTCATTTCAAGTATTGATCTATTTGAGCGGAAAGAATGAAAAGATAACCTATTGATGACAGATTGCTGTCCTTTTGTTAAATGTCAAGCAGCTAATTAATTTCAAAAGGCTTCATCTATAACAAGAAGATCCTCATGCTCAGAATATTGATATTTTTGCTTATTATTTGGGTACTAAGAGGTGAAAACCTCTAAAACCCAGACAAAGGTAAACCTGAAGGAATATAAATCTTCAAGGCCTATGTAAAACTTTATAGCTCCATCATTGACATGTAATTTCTCAACAGGGACTGGCTGTCATTACAGGATTACTCCCTCATTCCATGATCCCTGATTTCCTCCAAATAACATTCACTATAGAATTTGAGCCTCTGAACTGCCTCAAACTTATATTTCCTGACTTTAGCTCTCTGATATTGAACTTTCATCCTCAGATCCTTTCATAGTTTATGCAAGTTGGCAGGAAAGACAGCAGACCAATGGTTTTGTCCAGATACCAAATATAATGGACTTTGATGCACTATAGCCTATAACATGTTTTCAAACATGTTAGATTTATTCATGCTTATTTTGAAATTATTGTCATTATGGCTGTGACTTTTACTTCATAACTCAGGCACATTCAAATTGACTTAAGCTAGGTTAGCTGCACAGTCCTCACCCAAGCTCTGTAAGCAGAGCTTGGGTAATTTTACAGAAGAAATATGTACCTAGGAATCAGCTCAACCCATGGCAACTACATGTATTAAGGATACTAAAGGAAAAAGTCAAGGGACCATTAGTTGCTGCTGATGACATGCATACATCACTTACTAATTGATAGGGGTAGCTGCTGTCTTTCACATAACTCACAGTAATCCACTAATCTTCCTGATCAGTGTGCTTAAAAGAAGATATGTAGTTCAAGACCAGAAGAGCATAAAGGACAGACCAGATCCAAGCTGTAGACTCCTCAGACACCTGCAGACAATCCTCCATGTCTACTCCAGGCAACATGACTATAGTGTGCTGCATGCTATGGAATGGTCAGCCTGACAGCATTTGTCACTCTTGC